AAAAATCTATATATTTATAGTTCTATAACTATATAGGTATATTATTTCTAATAGCAATATGTATATTTGAAACCATTAGTGAAACCTGAGGCCCTCAACAGTTGCAAGTGAGGGGTGACTGAAGAGGAACGTGGCAGTTGTATAGGTTTCTGAGTGCAGTAGTTTTGTGTTGCTGTGATAATTATCTTCACATGTTGCTGGTTTTAAGCCTATGTTTATACCTCATTTTTTTTTGCTTGTATTATTTCTAATAGCAATATGTATATTTGAAACCATTAGTGAAACCTGAGGCCCTCAACAGTTGCAAGTGAGGGGTGACTGAAGAGGAACGTGGCAGTTGTATAGGTTTCTGAGTGCAGTAGTTTTGTGTTGCTGTGATAATTATCTTCACATGTTGCTGGTTTTAAGCCTATGTTTATACCTCATTTTTTTTTGCTTGTTTGTTACTCAAATGCTGTTTTTTCTTCTCCTGTTTCTCTTGTAGGATCCAAGCAAAGATACCTGGGTTGAAGCGCAAAACTGAGTAAAAAGCCTGAAGCAACTTATCGATAGGAAGTTCATCATTTAAGGGGGAAAAAATACTCATTTGGATTTACATGGGGAGGGTCAGGGAATAGCAAAACCCTTGACATTGCAGTGCAATTTCACAGATCTTTATTTTTTAGCAACGCAGTGTTTGAGGAAAAGTAACTGTTTTGACTGCCACGTGTTTCATCATCTTAAGTATTGTAAGCTGCTATGTATGGATCTAAAACTAATAGTCATCTTTCTTTATCCTGTGTGCAGCACTGGCTAATACAAAAGATTTGAGAAAGCTGTACATTTTGCTTCATCAGAGGTAGTCCCTGCTGCGTTCCAGAAGAGGTAGTGCAGGTGGAGCGGAGGATCACACTTCCCAGCTTGTGCACTGTGTATGGTCTGTGTAGATTGATGCAGATTTTCTAAAAATGAGATGTTTTAGAAGAATATACCATTTTAGCAAGTTTTGAAAAATCTTGCCTTTTTGGTATGAGTATAGCTGTATTGTGATTTTATTGTTTTATCAATTGCCAATATATATATATATATATATGTGTGTTTCACAAATCTTAGATCTTTCAGCTGCTCCACAGTGCTTCAGAGAACTGACTGATTTCTGGACTAGCTCCATAGCACACAAGCTTGAAAAACTAAAATGTCTCTGTTAACACTAGCATCTGCTTAAAGAAAACAAGAGAGAAATGAACAAAGGAACCTCCACATCTATTAAAAGAAAATTACAGCATACACCACTTCGTTGCACAAATATACAGTCGCTGATTTTGAGTAAATAATTATACAGTCTCTCAAACTCTGATAATCTGTGGACCGAATATCTAGTGCTGCAAATATTGTCTGGAAACTTAAAACCTTGTTATGCAAGAAATGGTAAATTAAAATGTATACACTTGCAGATTAAGCTGTATTGAACTAAGTCTGTGGAATGCATTGTGAAATGTAAAAAAAAACAAAAACAAAAACAAAAAAAAAACAAAAAAACAATCCCACCAAACAACAAAAAAGTAAGAAAAAGAAACAAACCCAAAACCCCAAGTATCAATAAAGCTTATAGACATAAAATAATACCGGTATTTTGCTTTCTTGAGGCAAGTTTGATATATTTGTGTTTATTTTGTTTAAATTCATCGTGATTAAATATCCATTGTACATGGTGGTGGAAATAGTTTGTCAGACGTATAGCGATGTGAGTAGATGGATTTTTCATGATACCTTTTTTTTGTATGTGCAGTGTGAAGCAGTTTGTTCAGTTCCAGTTACAGATTTGATGTCCCAAATAGCTGTGTTGGCCGGTGATGCTCAGTTCAGCGCGTAGTTCTTGTAGCACAGATTCCTGCCTGCAGCGAGGAGCCTGTGATGCTGAATACTGAAGGCCTCCATGACACGAGCGTGATGGTGTCAGGTGCCACTTCAGTGTCAAGTTGGTAATTGAAAATTGTGAAAGATTAAATTTTAGACTATGCTAAACAAAGTGCAGATCCTTGGTTTCTTTTATTTTTGAGACTAATGTATGATGCCATATTCTAGTTTGAAGGAAATGGTAAAGCAAGTCCCAATAATATTTTCAGATCAACTTAGTGAATCTGATTTAAGGGCTGGACATTGAAAACTTGTATCCAAATCTATTTGAGATACAGATTTTAAATTAATGGCATCTTGACCCTTGAAAAACAAATCCGTGCACTAATACTTTTGGTTTAATACAGTAATATATCATTACCTCTGGACATTTTATACATAAAGCCAAACCATATAAACATACAAATTTTAAGTGTTTTCCTGACAGACGCTATTGCTTTAAGATATTTTTCATATCACCATTTATTAATTTGTTCTGCCCAGCAACTGGTTTTATTCGGGATACAATCAATGTGAAATGAAGGCAAACATTATTACAACATAGGCAAAGAAGGTGCTTACTGACATCACCACCTAACATGATTACATTATTTGATCAAGAAAGTTTCTTTAAAAAAAAAGACTGCATAGGGACTCTTATTGTGTATCTGACAAACTGATCTTCTGTATAGTAATATAAGGCATTAATAAATTCAATTTTAAAAAAAGGTGATTCTCTGAGGTTGCTGAATCACTTTTGTGTGTTAAATGTACATTGATCCACTCCTTTAACTGGATATTTGTTGCATCCAACAGCTACCTTTTTATGCAGTGGCCATCAGAAGTGGATTGGCAGGAATTTTCTGCAGTTCAAAATTACATTTTCCTGAACTGGGACTAACGCACTATTTAATGTTTCCTTTCAAAGACTAAATGTAAGTCTAAGTAAGTGTTTTATTTTGGCCTTTATTTCTTTTGATTAACAAACAGTCTTTTTAAAAGAAAGGTAATTTCAAAATATGGATGTTGTTCCATGCCAGAAATCTCAAAAATCATTTGTTTTGATATTGCCCACGTTTTCTGTTCCTTTCTAAACGGTTTCATTGGAAAAAGTTGAACTTAATTTCTTTCTCCAATTCCACTGTCCCTGTAGTTTCTGGTTTTGACAAAACGTTAACAACTGTCGAACAGGTCTATTTGCCTTTGTGAAGATCTGCTTGTGGTCTCCACTTCTATGTGGAGGCAACTCTCCTTTTACCTCGGCTGCCTGCTGCCCTCCTGCCCCATGATCCCATAGCCCAGGCAAGAGAAGCCATGAGGTGGAGAGGCGTCCAAATTTAGCAACAATTCTGCTTTGCTCGAGGATAGGTAAATTTTCTTTTATTGGAGTGATTTATTTTCTACTCATAAGCAGCATGGGACTAGCTGCCTGCTGCAGGGTACGCAGACCCCGCTAGCAATGTACCAGGCGGTCCTAGAGATTGTTTTGAATGTCTTTGGGAAGGCCTCTCCAGAATGGGAAAAATGGGAAATAGTGATTCTGGGAGGCTTTCAATCCACCATTTCTTAAAGATGCTAGATGGCCACTTCTTCTGTATGTAGGTAACTATAAAGCACATACTCCCATAAACAGGGAGAGAAATTTTGGGAATAACTTCCTCAATATTTGTGTTAAAATTTTTTTAACCATTTCTCAACTCTCCATACTCACTACCTCTACTCACCATTTGAGTTAAGCTTCAAATTCTGGTTGCGGTTGAGCTACAGCGCATAGCTTCTTGCTTTCAGAAACATTTTGGAATTCCCTTGTTGAATGTGTTAAAAAACCAAAGCAGAAAACAGGGATGATGTACGTACACAGCTGGAAAAGGTGTTAATGGTTAGCCCTCCTCTATGTGAACATTATAGCACCGTATGTTGAAAGCAGTTGGTGGGAGGCAAGACTGTAGCCCATACTACTAGAAAATTACTCAAAGGCACTTCATGGATAGAAAATTTTGCCAAATATATATATATATTTAAAAATAAAATGGACTTTAAAAAATGATACTTTGCTCCTTTGATTACTGAAAGCTGAAGCATGAACCCCAGCATGCTCATTAAAAGCTCGCTGTTTTGCTCAGTGAATCAAATTTCAGCTTTAGGCAGGTGTTGGAAAAACACCAACTTCCTGGAACAAATGTTCAATCCATAAATTTTGAAATTATGCAAATTAAAGGGTGTGGCATTTTCTCTGGGTGCTCCCTTGTCAGACATGGTTTGAATAACACAGTATTACGCAAAAGCAGCTTTGTGAGGGAACGGTTCATTGCTTTGGCCTACCTAGGATACAGCACTGTTCCCTGTCAAACTTCAGCTTCCGTTTCAAGGATAGTGGTCTTTCAAGTGCAAGATCATATTCATGTTCAGTAAATTCATATGAGTAATCTAAAAATGTGTAATCCATGCAGCATCGTATGGGAAATTAACAGCAGCCAAAGGGTAGAGGCATTCGCGGCTGTCTGATCCAGCGTGGGCACCTGGCGGCCACAGTAAGAGCAGCAAGAGAGTCTCTTTCACAGGCATCGCCATACAAATACACTAAAAAAAATTAATTCAGAGCAGAGTTATTTTCTGAGTAACTTGATTACAGCCTTCAGCATATCATACCACAAGAGACAAGCTGCCTTAAATACACACCGCTACAAAGGCAGGTTTACCAGCAAGATAACAGGTACAGCCACATTAAGTCCTGGAGTAATGTTAAATACAGGCACTGAAATGCCCACCCCGGTCTGGGGAGAGAGGGAAAGCGCTGTAAGGTCTGGGTCTGTGTATCTGTCTGTGGCTGTGTATCGCTGTGGGGCTATGTGTCTGTCTGTCTGAGTTCGTGTGTCCCCGTCACCGTGTGTGTCCCAAGTGCGTCTGTCCCCGTCACTCTGTGAGTGCGTGTGTCCCCATCACCGTGTGTGTGAGTACATGTGTCCCCATCACTCTGTGTGTGTGAGTGCATGTGTGTCCCTGTCACCCTGTGAGTGCGTGTCCATCACTCAGTGTGTGAGTGCGTGTCCCCGTCACTCTGTGTGTGAGAGTGCGTGTCCCCGTCACCGTGTGTGTGAGAGTGCGTGTCCCCATCACCGTGTGTCCCCGTCACTCTGTGTGTGTGTGTGTGGCTGTCACGTGTGTGAGTGTGTGTGTCC